AGGAACGGGAGATTGGATATCTGGCGAAGAAGTATGCAGGCGTTCGCGCGACTACCAAGGACATACGCTAGATCGCAAACGCAAGAACACCATCAAATCTAGCCATTATCCAAAATAACACCATTTGCTATTTACATATTATATTAATTACTTTTAAAGGGTAAGGTATTCGAAGAAGAAGTTTTTAGTAGAAGTAGAGCTTCTTGTGAAAAAGTTCGTCCAGGGAAGTACTGCCACCTTACCTATTTCTGCCACCAAGCAGTAATGTGAGCATTACTGCGTTCTAATTTCGAAGGGACTTGTCAACTTATGTCTCAGGGTGACGGGCATAGTGGCAGTGCCCCTAAGATCTTTGTGATTAAAAGCTCTAAGTGACACTGGCACACGACTCCGACGACGACTTGATATTATAAAACAAGCAAATTGAGAAACATTACATTATTTGAACTTATTCCGCATTTAAGAATCAACACGCGCGACCTCTCTCGACTTTAGATTAAGTATACATACATTCAAGAACGATTTACAAATAAATCGATTATTCATCCAATAATGTCTTCCGTTGTTCCATCACTCATGTCAAGTAATCGCGAGAGTTACAGTACTTATGTCTGAATATCAAAACGATTGCTTATTTTCTAGGGTCTTTTGTTAAAGCCAAATTCTAAAAATGACTACCGGGAAGAGTTTTGTAAGTGATACTCATTTATCTATACACGGAAAAGTACTTCACTTTGAGACATTCCCCGAATCCTACATGGAGATGAATGTGTTACAATAATCTAAGGTAAAACAAAAATGCCGCTCCTAAACCACATAACAACGGTCAAACCGAGTAAACGCGTATCAAAACTATCAAACACCAAGTTTACAGGAAAAATAATTAAACCTTTTTGTTTTAAAATAAAATAACCAACTTCAAAAGTTTGTGGAATTACATTTATTTGCCAAGTTTCATTGAAAACGATTAACGGAAAGTGTTTGAAATCCAATAAACCTGATTTATCCCCTAATTTGTTACCCTTAAATATTTACTTCAATTTAAGTGGGACTGAGGTACCTTTTTTCCAACAAAAAAGAATCATCAAAATCGGTTCACAAATGCCGGAGTAATCGCGTAATATACACAAGAAAATACAGTCGAATTCAGAACCTCCTCCTTTTTTGAAGTCGGTTAAAAAGAGTAGCAGTAGAGCTTCTTGTGAGAGTTCGTCCAGGGAAGTACTGCCACCTTACCTATTTCTGCCTCCAAGCTGCAATGTCAGCATTACTGTGTTCCAGTTTTGAAAGGTAAGCGAAGTTATGGGCACATAGGACTTGTCAACTTATGTCTCAGGGTAGCGGCACAGTGGCAGTGCTCCTGTGATTAAAGCTCTGGGTGGCACTGCAACTATTATGAACAGGCGAGTCGTTTACCAGCAGGCGTACGACTTACTCGTGCCATCACTTACTATTATAAAAAAATATAAAAGATTTCAAACACACTGCACCTGATGAATTTGTTTCGAAAACGATAAAAATCAATTATCATTTCCGACGTAAAAACGTCGTAAATGATTTTTTTTAAGGTGTATTATTTCATTCGTGCGTAATTTATATTTCCGTTTTCCCTAGAAAAAAAGTATTGGAGGGGCAATAAAAAATACTATTTATATTTTTTTGTGAGTGAAAAAGTTTAGGAGGGTATAAAAACCCGTTTAAAAGCTTCTGGGAGAGCGACAGTTTACCAAACAATTGTTAAACAATTCACTAATATAAACCAACAGACAAACGACAAATAATGATAATATTTATAGCAGGTTTATCCCTTATTTATCCCAGCAAAAGATAAATCTTGTCAGCTCGATAATACATCAGTTGAAAGATGGATTTATGTCGACGATAATCATGATAATGTAGGATAAGACACGAATGGGGAAAGTTATTATTTAGGTTCCCTGTTTGTTTATTAAGGACATTAGGCGGCAACAAACATTTATAACACGAAGATAACAACCAGTCTATTGTTCTTTTGAGCGCTTCCTGTTACTAATAATGTCGTGAATATTTTGAATTTAGGAATATTACATTTAAAATGGTGGATTCGTTTAGTATACGAAACCTTTTTATTGGTAATGAATTCTAAACCGGAATTTTGACCCTAACGTTTATATTCCGTCCAATATGATGCTTGAAGGATTGCCGAGTAATGGGATAGAATAATAATAAATAATTTTTAGTTTATTGAATGTCAGGCTGTTTCACCACAATGATATTCAATTGCTTTTTTTTTTTTGTGAAATGACTACACTAGTTTGTTATAGTCTGCACCGATTTTCGGTACCTCGGTTCGTTAATACAGAACGACGGCGAGATAGACCGCGACGTTAAGAACAGAATACGTGCAGGATGGATGAAATGGCGACATGTTACAGGCACTATTTGCGATCGGTAAATGTCCCTTAAGCTAAAGGGGAAAATTTACAAGACCTGTCATGTTGTATAGATCAGAATGTTGGGCGATGAAAACGGAGGATGAACGAACTGTGCATGTATCGGAAATGCGAATGTTGAGATGGATGTGTGGTGAAACGAGAAAGGATAAGATAAGGAATGAGTACATCAAGGGAAGTTTGAAAGTGGCGCCAGTGACGGAAACGATGAGGAGTAATAGGTTAGCGTGGTATAGACATGTCATGCGGAGGGAAGAATGTCATGTGACGAGAAGAGTGTTTGGTATGAATGTGGAGGGACATAAGGGGAAAGGAAGCTAAAGAAAATATGGATGGATTGTGTGAAAGATGACATGGATAAGAAACGTGTGAGTATAAAAATGAGGGCTGATAGGAGAGAATGGATAAAAAATTCATTTTGTGCCGACCCCACCTAGCGTGGGATAAGGACAGGAAGAAGACTCCACTAGTTTGTTATAATTATTAAAGAAAGATCGAACATTTAGAAAAAAATCATTTCGATCCAGTTGGAATCGAACCAAACGGCCTTTAGGCTGCCTCGATGATCGAGTGGCTTGCACACCGGTTTTCATGGTATCGCAATCTCTGAGGTCCCGGGTTCGATTCCCAGCCATGTCAGCAAATCTTTTCGATCGGGTTGGTTTCAGAGTATTTGTTGCAGATCTTTGTTTCGTTTTTTAACGATTTTTTTACCATAGCGCCAACTACGAGAAATCTTTGAAAGATTTTTCTTCTCTCAGTGAGGTACATTTACAGTTACCAGCCATCGACTAGAGATATAATAATAACGCACACACTTAACATAGCCCCGCACTAGGGAAACCCTGTGTCGCGGGTGTCATGGACACATACATAGACAACCACAAATTACACCCAAACTCACGAGGAAAATAAATGTACGCCATACAAATATTTCTCCCAGCCCGGGAATCGAATCTGAGACCTCTGCGTTGCAGTCCGGCCGGCATGGTAACCGTTCGGCCACGGAGGCAATAAAAGAGAGTTAGAGCGAGATGTCACTTTAATAATTGTAATTAAGTTTTTATTGAAGTAAGGATGTTTCATCACAATGATTTTTCAATTATTTTTTTGAAATTACTCCACTACTTTGTTACAATTATTAATGCCAAGATTGAGCACTAAGAAAAAATTCCTTCGATGCGGCTTTAATTGTACCAACGTCTTCCAGCAAACCGTGGCAGATGGTATAATAAGAGCAAGTAATTCCCGCCTGTTCGGTGCAACAATGCCTACATGGAGTGTAGGGTTGTCACATTATTACTTTAGATGTTTTTACAGGTTGTAAACATAATTTGAAAAAATTAAGGTGATCATTACAGGATTCTCATGCTATATCGAACAAACTCTTGTATTTGAGTATTTGTTAGAAGTCTTCTTATGACGATCCTTGATGAATGAATATTTAATATGTAATTTAATGACAGCGATATTACTATTAATGTATTGTCAATTTTATAATTATTGTGTATTTTTCATTTTATAATTTTAATTTTTGTTCGACGAACTCCTAATAATTTCTCATACTTTAACATGTTGTGCAATTTATACTGTAATATTATATTTGAGAACTAAATGAATCTGAATCTTGTTCAACTATCACAAACACAACAATAAACACGTCTACTACTTGACGTCATTTTTTAAATACCGAGCGACCGTATCAATTAATGGCGCGCCTGCAACCGGAGCAGTGCAACGCGAACGCACCGCGAGACTATGGTAATGTGTGCATCCGTACACGCCGCGCAGCTACATTTGTATGGTGTTACCATGTACTTGTCTTATTGTACTATGGTAATAGCGCAGTTACATGAACTGTATTCGATTCCGTCGCAACTACAAACTAGCATTTAGTACATAAGTAGCACTTACAGTTTCCAAAAAATTTGAAGTTGCAATTCAGTGCATTGCAGCGCGTGACTACGCATTGAATACCTTGACTTTAAACAACACTTGAACGCAACTAATCACAACATGATTAAATTCATTACTTAAAACGGTTGTTGCAACCATTGTGCTTGATGAGCCAATGAACAAAAGGAAACAAGTTACTTCATCACGTTAAACAAAATTTTGTTTATTTCAATCACAATGTTTTTTCAGTGCTATCTATAAGCGTCCTGGTTTTTGATAACAATATTATTAAACAAGATACATTACTTACATACAGATTCTAGTTATAATAACAGTAGATCTTATTGTGAAAGAGTTTGTCCAAAGAAGTACTACCACCATACCTATTTCTGCGTCCAAGCAGTAACGTGAGCATTACAGCGTTCCGGTTTTGGGAGGATATGGGTCTTAGAGAAACTACAGGCAGATTTGTCAACTTCGTCGCAGTCGACAAGTCGCAGAGGCGACTTGTCAACTTTATATCCCAGAGTGACGAGCATAGTGACAGTGCCTGTAGGATCTTTGCGATTTCTGAGTGGCACTCCAACTGTTATGGTTAGGCGTGTCACTTACCATCAAGCGCACGACTTGTAGTCCCGTCACTTGATAACATAAATAATAATATTAACTTACCTTGGAATTGAGCATGATCTCCGGCGCTCGGTACCAACGTGTGGCCACATACTCCGTGAGGAAGCCTGTATGGTCGTGATCTGGGTCCGCCACTCGAGCCAGACCAAAGTCACAAATCTGTTAAACAAATAAATACGTAAGTATAATAAGAAGATTGTCATTGTAAGCGTTTCAAAGTTTTCAATATTCGTTCAAATGTGGTTGATATGCTGAGATGACTCTTTAATATAGGAAACAGAGTATGATTTTCGAAAATCGTGTTGTTTTTGATAATTACCACAAATTTTTGGTTTTATTGGTCGAAAACTTTAAAGATTTTGAATGCTATTTTACGGAAAACTGACCAACCACGATCAGACGTTTGTTTTTAGAACACACTTGATCCATCATTTAATATACACCATATTAAATGATGGATCAAGTGTGTTCGTAGTACCACTCACGTTAACGTACGTACGACTTATTAACGTAACAACGTACTTCAAATAACGTTACTGCAATGTAACTGAATGACTAAAAACTAACGTATTATCTTTTTTATGTAAAGGAGGCAAACGAGCAGACGAGCCACTTGATGGGAGGTGGTCATCGTCGCCCATAGACATTTGCAACATCAGATGAGCTGCCTATGCGTTGCCGGCCTTTGAGAACCTTTTTGGAGAACCCGATGTCATAGCGCAAAGGAAATACTTCAGGAGGACGATTCCACATCTTGCAGGTTTGAGGAAGGAACAAACGAGATGCCCGCGTGGTCTTACAATGCCTTAACATTTAAGATGTGGGGATGGACTCTACTCCTTTGGCGGGAGGTGCGGTGGTGCAAACTAATGTGGCACCAGAAAGTTCCTCAGAGCACTCCCCATTACAATTATGTCGTACCGGTGCAAAAAGTACGTCTACCCTCAGTTAAATTGTTTACTTTGTAAATTGATTGTGTGTTGTTCTTATATTTAGTGTCTGGTATAATTTTGATACAAAATTTTGTTTTAGTTTAACTAAAAAAAGCTTAAAAATTGTTATTTCAGAGTCAATTGTATTTTTGTATTTTTAGTCTTTTGTATTTTTCATATTGCAAATATATTTTACAGAGTGTATTTTAGGTGTAAATGGCACCTAATAAATACTATTAGATCTCTCAAAACTAATAACTTTTTTTTTATATACCATCAAGTTACGGGACTAACAAGTCGTGCGCGTGATGGGAAGCTACACCTAGCTTGTCCATAACAGTTGCAGTGCCACTCAGAGCTTTAAATTGCAAAGATCTGAGGGGCACTACCACTGCGCACGTCACCCTGAGACATAATTTGATAAGACCCATGTGCCTGTAATTTCACCAACACCCTTATCCTTCAAAACCGGAACACAGTAATGCTGACATTACTGCTTGGCGGCGGAAATAGGTGAGGTGCTAGTACTTCCCTGGACGAACTCTTTCAAGGAGCTCTACTGCTACTAAATTGTATTCTATTTTATTTTAACTTATTGGAAGACCAACGGCTATCTTACAGAGCAAAAACTGAAATAATAACGGAGAGCCAATTATAGGTCCTCACCAATAGACACACATTAAGTTAATGAACATTAATTTATAACTATATAACTACTAACTATACTACATAGGTAATGACATTTTCGCAACACTTAGTAAATACCTACTCGCCAAAAAACAAACTACTAATATAATAAGACGTTTCACCGATGCAACACTACTGATTAGCCTGGAGTTCAAATGACGCAGGTCATAAGGATGATACAGGAATGACGCCTACTTTGCTTACATTAGCGCCTTTCGAAAACTTATTAATCATAAAATGTAGACTAGACAACTTGACTAATTTTGTTTCTGTTAATTGAATTTGATCACTCAGTCCTAAGAGCTAACTAATGAAATAACTGGACGGATTATCCTTTCTTTTCCATAATTTTAACTCCATGATAGCATAGTGCAATACAACCTCCCACTAGCCATAAATAATTATTTTTACGGGTGAATCGTAAATACACAGTCGTAATTAAGGGGTCGACAGATGCCTGCAACACCCGTTTTTAGTAACATTTTTAAAAACGAAATAAAATTTCAGCTCGAATGTATAATTTCATATCGTGGAACATAACGTGTAAAGTAGTTGAGTTTTATGAAAAGAATAGAATAAAATAATTTATTTTATTTAGAGCTCCTTGTGAAGGAGTTCGTCCAGGGAAGCACTACCACCTTACCTATTTCTGTCGCCAAAATACGCCTGTTTGCGAAAGGCTCGCATTACGTAGTACGATCTGATCGCGTACTGTTCGCACGCCACGCGCACTCCAAATATAATGTATTTAACTGCACGCATTCAGAGCAGCGCGCGCACAGCGCACATGCAGCGCGTTCGCGGCGCATTCGCCAGATCTGTACGCACTCTTACAGCTCCCCGCCTCTCGCGTATCGTCATTCCAAAAATAATTTTGGCGGTGGATGCTTTTTTATGCTACCGCACAGAGTTATCACAGTTTAGAGCGATCTATTAAAATATTTATATTTTTCTACGAAAATAAAACCTCATGAATTATTAAGTTATGGAACAAAAGTTGTTGTTTATGACGTCAGTAATGTAGTCCTGCGAGGATATTAATATTTAACAAATTATGTAACAAAATATAACAAGGACGACATTTTTATATGTCAACGATATAGAGACAAAAAATTGAATTACAGTTCTTTCCAAAGAAATTGGATAATAATTGTACAGTGTATAAAAATTTTAGACCTAAGCTGTCGCTTTCGTAAATGTGATCCACCATTAAAGGGACACTCTGTACAAGCTGCAGTTTCGATATAGCGGGACTGTTCTCGTTTATACGTAACAAAAACAAAAATACATTTGGGCAAAACATATCATAACATGTACCAATTTCTGTACTTATGTCGACACTGTTTAATTACCGTAAAATTTTCAATGAATGATTTACAAGAACGACGAAATCAACGAAAGAAGTTTATCGAAGTAGAAATATCGTGAATTCAACCTGAGTGCTTTTCATAACGTCACTGTATTTGATATTCTGAAGTTCTTCAATACTTGGAAATTAGATTATTTTTTCGGTTCTACAGTTCACAGTCAGCCGTGACCATGGGTTGTTTGAAAAAACAAATATACTAAAAAACCATGTTTTTATTACCATAATATTCGTATCAATAATACCATAAAACTATTGGAGAATTTTCACAAAAATATGAATATCATGGTAACAAAAACATGATATCCAATAATATCAATATTGCTATTAATAAAGCGACATCTATCGTCAGCCGTTGGTAGTTGTAAAGGTACGTGGCTGAGTGAAGAATAAACCTTCATAAGGTTTCGCACCACAGACCATACAGGTCTAATCTAAATAGACGCTGCAAGTGTACCTAATTCGCGCGCCCAATGTAATATATAAAAACGCTTAGTTGCCGCTGGTACTCTTCAGAACGCGCCCGGCCGTTACCGTGGTTAAACATCAGACAAAAACGCGAAAAATGTCTAATTGCGCCATTAGAAACTACAAAAACACTACATCCATGAGTAGATGAATAAACAGGGACATTTCCTTCCACAGTTAAGGCACTTTTTAATCAGAATATGCATAATTTATTATTCAAATGATATGTTTAGTAGGCCATGAATATCGAACGAGCGATACTTTCGTAATAATGCATCAGTTTTGTGGTACTGTCGCGTTTTGGGCTTCATCGTGTTTTGGGTCAGATTTTGCGATTAGTGATGTTCACTTTATGCAAAAGTTCTCGATTCTGATCGATTTACGAAATTTGAAAGAAAAATGGATGTGATTGCAAGTAAATTCGATTGTATTAAATTTGATTAAGGCAGTCACAAGTTAATAAATTGACGTAGCGTGTGTGAGCTTTATTATTTAGGTAAGCATTCGAGATCTTCTGTAACGAAAAGACAAAATTGTACAATAAGGTCATTTTATTTTACAATAATTTTAATATACGCTTACCATTGAAATCGATTAAAAATTTAACTACAAATCTTTAAATTACGAACGGAGTAACATTTTTTTAAACCTCGTTTTAATTGTTATTTTAATGTTAAAATATCTAAAATACGAGCGGAAATTGTATAAATAAAATTAATTTATTAAGGTACTGCATTCTGTAGTTTAATTGAAAATTGTCAAATGAATGTATAAATAAGTAACTCAATTGATTTTTATAACAGTTGGTAAAGCGAATTGACTGATTGTAGACAAGTTAAAACGGCGATGGTAAAGAGTGCTGCTACCACCAAAAATAGAATTAAGTTTTCTGAGACTTAGGGTCGCATTCTAGAACTCTACTCAATGCTCAAGATCGGATTTGAGTATGGTTTAAAGCACTTGATATCATACTCAAGTCCCTGCCATTAGGGTCGTATTTCCAGTGCTTGTGTTGCCCGTGCAATCCTGACTTGAGCATTGAATAGAGTTCTAGAATACGACTCTCAGTCTATGTTGCGACTCAAAAGTGTACACTTGTATAAAAAAAATAAAGTGGTACAGTCAAGAGCACATTAAGCTTGACACTTTGTACTTTGGACCGTTCTTATCGTAAGCGGCATAGAGTTGGATTTAAATCTTAAGTGTAAAGCTTGACGTGCTCTTGACACTATAGGTAAACGTTTAAAAATACAAGAGTTTTTATTTTACGTCTAGGCAACGTGTTTAATATAGTAATGGACATAATTATCTTATTCTGGTATTATTTTACTATCTTAATATTTCACGACACCTTATAATCAACTGAATCCAAAAATGAATGAGATTTCCCGTCGTCTATTTAAAATATTTAGATGTATGATGTATGTCTTTGTTTCTCACAGATGGCACCACTTTCTCACAGAAGGATTTTTTCTGTGTTTGTTCAATCTTTGTATATCAATAAAATACAACGTGAATTAAATCCAAAAACATAGGTTTAATTCCAATGTGTAACAATACAGAAAACCTAGATTTTTTGAATATTAATTCAGTTACAGCAATGATATATAAGAGCCACGCGCAACATGTGTGGAATATTTTTTATAACACAGAATGAGAAACAACATAATAGAGCGTTGCGGTGCGAAGATGATATAGTGACTAGG